AAGTGTTCCAGTAAAGCCAATCGACAGCCGGTCAAGAGGAATCCTATGGTGGTCGTATTCTGGTGTGATCCACCTTCAAATCTCTTTATCATACCCTTTTCCTCGAAATGGAAGTAAGTTTAACTATTGCGAACTCAAATTTCTTTTACATGACTATTGGTTAAAAGAGAGTATTTTGTGTTTGCGTTACAAATCTTGGGGAATTCTGCGTATTGAGCATGTTCACAGTCGATTAGCTTGTTTTTAGTGGCACTTATGACTTTAATCCATTGGAAGAATTGCATAAAAAAGTATATTTTCTCTTTAATAAGAACTCTTTTCTCCCTAGAAGATGAAGGCGGCGTATGACTGATAGTTACGCTTTCTAAACAATCAGATAATTAGGTTTCATTGTACTAATGAATTCAACTTAGCCTTGCTTTCCAAGAAATATCCTATCCCAGGGTTAGCAAAATAATGTTTCTACTATGCATTGGTTTCATAGAGCTCGGTTGATGCGGCTTTCTATTTTTGACATGGTATCAAAATGTCAAACTGCCAGATGTGACTTTCAAGGCTATAGAGCAAACGAAAGATGACGGAATTCTTTTTTCTTTGCTTTCAAACTTAGCTCACTTTTTGGAAGAAAAGATTAATGTCTACATAAAAATATTCATACTCTTCATACCGCTACTATAACGAATTGCCTCATGCTAAATTATATGCCTTTAGCTCTACACTCAAATTCTGCCAGCACAAAATCTTCGTTTAAACTGAAAGGATTAAGGAATTCCATTGGCATGCAAATATCAGGACATAGTGATACACCACCCTTATCATGTCATAGTTGCAGTTTTGATTCGTATCAATTACAAAAAATAGTATTTCCTAACACTTGAACATATTTATGCCATCGAGTATATAAAATATGCTTTAGTCTTCCAGAAAAGTCCAGCTTTCTGCAGAGTCCCACTGGCGGTACTGATGAGACCCAGGCGAGGTCGAAACTACAAGTGCTTCATTACCTTAAAGCGAAATTTGATGAATGAGTTTCATATATCTTATTTACTGGTAGCTTCGAAAGCATTATTAGAACAAAAAATACATATAAAGCCTCATACTACTTATACTATTACTGCAGCTAGAAACTGGTTGTCCTATATGATACAATATTCAGCCTTTTGTTGCAAATATATCCTCTGCGAGCAATCACTCATTGTCTTATTAAAAACGTTGATTCCACCTTCGTTGAGCAAGCCGGAAATCGCCACACAATTCCGCGGAAATGCGTGTGTTCATATATTGCGTAACATTGTCTTCAAGAAAGATCAAAATTACAACCTCGATTTGTTCAGGCTACAAAGAGTCTTTATCTACAATTGAATAGACCTATGCGGTAGAACAGACACAATATAATGAAGTTCAATTTATCTACGAAGAATGTCTTTCGTTTCTAAACTCAGCCTATCATTCGTTAGGGAATGTTCGCATGCAAATACTCAAACTACTCATTACTACTACTTATTAATAAAAAAAAACTTACTGTTTCATACGTTACATTAAGCCACCTTTGGTCCCATATCAAAGCTTGATGAAGCGAAAACGCTTATTATTTACAAAAATGTTGATGTCCATTTCGCTGGGTTAATCCAGGTTTTAATTTAAATTTTATTTTTTAGCTACACAGAAACATTACCCTCGTGAAAGATCGAAATTGCAGACATGAGTAGTCTAGCCTGATAATCAAAGCCAGTTATGCCATAGAGCATGGGATCACCGCTACCGTAGCTCAAGCCTTCTGGAAAGACCATTAATTGCATGCAAACATCCGCACCACATATACTACTAATATACTATAATAGTAGTATTAACCATACTCCATATTTGCCGGCAGATAGTTTTGATTTTTTTAAGTTGTCAAAGTCTTTTCTCACTAATTCTCTCTGAAAACTTGCTATTTTTATTTGGCCGAATACCAAATAGGCAGTTAGGACTTCATGAAGGGAAAGAGGCATGCTCCGATCCACCATTCTTGGCACAAATTGGACCGACAATTGCACTATTAATCTCATTCATTGTAATTGACACGAGCGAGGAATGCAGGAAAGCCTTTCGGTCATGCCTGAATTCCCACATTTTCCCCATTAGCCGAGAGGATGGGAGGCACATAACTTCCTTGTCCCGCCCCCGAGCCACCGAGAGGACCGGATAACCAGTCCAGCCTCCTCGAGCCGACTGTCCATGTTGGGCTGTTTCCTTTCCGCCGAGAGCCCAATTGCCCTCTTCACTCGTTTTGATCGACACACCTTCGGCCCAGTTGAGGTGACGGCCTGTTGAAAGTCCAGCAGAGCCAAGCAGAAGACCCCCTTTTCGGCAGTCGCCGAGAGCCTGGGCCTTTGTCTCTCGCCGAGGTTGTATTGCCCGAGGGAGAAGGAGGAACTGGAGGTGAAGACTTGCTGTCCGGTGTGTTACCAAACTCCGGAAAGAGGTGAATGCTAAATTAAACTTTAGCAAAGCCACTTATGATTGCGAAATTGCACCGGCCATAATGAGGAGGAGGAAAGGGGTAAGGCGCTTGGACGGGAAAAATGTGGCCAAGCAACACACAAAAGTGAAGAACAATTCAGCGAGTAACCAGGCCATTAAACACAAACTCGGCATAGTTGCCCAACAAACAGACCTAGTTCAAGTGACATCAGTTTTCGAGAAGTTGTACCGAAAACTGGGCAGTCTTGACGATCAAGAAAGGGATCTGGATAAGCAAGGGTCTCGATAGTCGGTACACCGGTGTGCAGGCATACAGGAGCACAGAGACGAGCACCAACGAACCACAATATGCTAGCAACACTGCCATCAACATCCGGTTTGCCTCGGTTACACGTCCTCGAAATAGAGGCGAAGACAGATAGGCCAAAGGTAATCGGCTTGTTGGAGCCGAAAGCCGCAAGTTGGCGTCAACTTGTGACAGATGTCAAGACCGACCTCGAGCCAACATTTCCGGCCGAGCGAATAGACCGACTGGATAATGCAATAATTACCATTTTTCCCATAAACTTTAGCCAAATCGGAGGGGACAGAGGGCAAAGACAGATCACAGGCTCTTCGTGAGTTTGTGTAGTCAAGTGAAGACATTTGCCTCGAGACAACCCAATCAATCTGCGCCCAATTCACGACAACGCAGACTGGTAAGCAATGCTGGGACTACCATTTACTTATGCAATATAAAGAGCACTACTTATGTGATATAAGTAGTTAGTATATTGGAGAAATTCAGAAATCCAATTAAGATGCCGCCCACGATGTATTAGGGTCTAGGCCGGCTGCTCGACGCGTAAGACTCGGCGTTCAGTCCAATTACGAGTGCTGAGTAGATCCGGACGAGATTGCATCTACAGTCCAAGCCGGGTGAAAAGGCACTTGGAGAGGCAAGCTAGAAAGAAGAAAAGTTGGGTTTCGAGGAATCTTTTGTTTCATAATTGCTGGGATCACTTCCATTTCGAGTAAAATTAGAGAAGCCATAGAAATAAACCGAATAGGAAATACCCTGAATGTAAGGAATACCAGCAAAAAGATAAGTAAAAACTAATTGTGGTTAATTGATAGATTGAAGGATAGAGAGGGAGTTGAGCCACGTGCAAAAAGGAGGCGACGCAAGTAGTCTTTTCTTGTCATGGTTCTAATAATAGTCAATTCTCTGTCTTTTTAGCTCACAGTTTCTCTCTCGC